AAATTTTTTTCCAAATTTTTTTTTTCCCCAAACCAAACCCCCCCCCCCCCCACTCTGAATCACGTTTTCTGTTTTGATGGTGTGTAATGTGTAAAGCTAAATTAATGCAACTCACTACCAAAATAAAGCAAGAAGCTGGAGAACTTTTAACATTACTTGTAAAGAGTAAAGTAAAACATTGCAGACACTATGGCGTTTCAGAGCTTTTTTTTTTTGCTTGTGTAGCAGAGTTGATTATAACTTCGTAGTGTGCTGTTTATCTGCTAATGTCAAAAATATTTTCTGTTATCAGGTTGCATCATATTTTTGATTCTTGAATAAAATAAATGTATCTTTTTTTCCATTTATGAAATCATAATTTCTTGACATTTTTGCATATAATACCGTTTGGCAGTGGACTCCAGAACTTGAACAGTACTCATCTTTTTTTGTTGGTCTTTTTTTTTTTTCCTTCCTTGAGTCAATGGATTCCATGCTGTAAATAGAAAGTCACGATGCCTCAGCCTGGAAGACTATATCCTCTTAAGAAGGCACTGCATAGGTCCATCAACAACCATGAGCCTAATAATACTATGAATAATTATTAAATGCATTTGGGAAGACACCGAGTAATTAAATACATTTTCTGTAAATATAAAAACATGTTCTTCATATATCACAACATTATATTTAGTAAGAGAAAAATAGCATTTTCAGTAAAGAAATCTATTTTATATTCTACCCCTTTCTGCCAAAAGTAAAAAAAAAAAAAAAAAAACGTTATTTTTGCTTTCTTTTAATCTGTTTCAAAGATGAATTTCAGTAAAAACACCCATCGTGGCAGTCCCACTCACAAGGAAAACATTCCATCTTCAACCAAAGCAGAATCCTTTCAGTACCCGAGGACCATACAGCGCACAGTTCTCGGCTCCTTGTCAGAAAATGAGCAGCGTGGACGATCCCTAAGCCAGGTAGGCAACAGTAGCATCCGTACGCTTTGCAACCAGAGACCTTCCATGTTCCAGACGACTGATTTCCTCCACAGGGAAGCCAGTTTTCCAAGCACAGTTCTGTTTCAGACAGCTCGCAGCTCAACTTTCTCGGCTGCCCATCCAGCTCCAGCTACGATGTGTACGTCGAGGAGGCTTGTGAAGTCGTTCTCGCCGCTTCGGGTCAGGAAGTCATTTCAGATGATTATGACCTCGAGGTTGATGCCAATCCCCTGCAGAATGAACATGTCAGGCTCCTGATGGAGTTTAGTTCAAGTAAGTTTGGCCTCCAAAATGGAAAAATAAATTTTTTTCAATGCATTGGGAAGGTTTTTATGCCTGTTGAACTTTCTCCACAATTTTTCTCACAGTACAACCACAAATGGTAACATATTTAATTGTTTATATTGTTCTATTGTTTTGACAAATAACGGTGAGAAAAGTTGTATTGCACTGCTTTAAATCTTAAAAATCTTGAGTGTTTTGCAAAGGTTGATCTTTAAAAAGCTCATATTAAAGAATGTAGTGGGTGCATGTGCATAGCTGAAAGAGAAATAGCTTAAAGACTACTTGCCGCTGTAACTGCAATGAAATGCATTTCTGCAAGGTCTTGAGTACAATGGGATGAATACAAATGCACACCACAGAATTCAGATTTTCATTCATCATATTCTTTCCCCTCAACGCTCTAAGTATGCACTACTCTGTGTTGGTCTGTCACTTAAAATTTCCAACGAAATACATTGCAGCTTTTGACTGTAATGCGAGAAAATATGACAAACTCGAATTCTTTTATAAAGTACTTAAAATGGTACTTCTATTTTTTTCAATAATTACTCTTCACCAGGTTCATGTCATGATGCCTCGATGCTGTCCGAACCAGAAGAATCCCTGATATCTAGAGAGACTTTCTGTTTTGATTATGCAGAAGATATTTACAAGAACTTAAGGGAGAGTGAAGTGAGTTTTTTTGTTTTTAACAAACTATTTCTTTCTTGTTAATGATAATTTTTGTGCTATTTAGTCATGCTGGTTACTAATTCCAGAAGCAGTTCAGGCCAAAGCCAAGCTACTTGGAGAGACATCCGGAGATCACCAATGGTATGCGGGTCATTCTGGTGGACTGGCTGGTGGAGGTTGTCCAGGAATACAAGCTCGGTTCTGAAACTCTGCACCTTGCTGTAAACTACCTGGACCGTTTTCTGTCCTACACAACATTTATCAAGAGGAACAAGCTGCAATTGGTGGGAACAGCTGCATTACTGATTGCCGCGTAAGCAAGTCATTCCTGCCCGTTCCGGTAACTCCACACATGGCAGTTGTTGGTTGTAATTGTGATGCCATTTGTTTTGTAGAAAATATGAAGAGATCTTTCCTCCCGAACTGAATGAGTTTGTGTACATCACAGACTGCACCTACGCTAAGAAACAGCTACTGCGGATGGAGAGCGTTCTGTTAAAGGTGCTGGACTTCAAGATGGCCGCACCCACCACCAATCAGTTCCTTCGCCTGTTCATGTTCATCCACTCTGTCTGTTCAACAACAGAGAACCTTGCTATGGTGAGTTCAGTTAATCTCATCTCCTTTTGTAGCAAAAACGTGGCAAGAATGGCTTTCCACAGAGCCGAGACGAGATTTCTGTGAGGACTCTGGCGAGTCATTCTGTCACGTTATGTTCTTTAGACCATTCTAAGTCAAAAAGTTAGATTTTACTTTTGTCTGACCAGGTGTAGCACTAAAAACTGAACTTCTAGTTTCTTTCTTTCAGCAGAGGCTCTATTCTTTCCATTCTTTCATTTACACAAGATTAATGGAGTCTACGACTAACAGTTGTGGATCTCTTCAGCTCCTAGAGAATTATTGTTGGCCGCTTGGCTGTTAATACTCTCTTTGCCAGGCCTATACATGTAGGTGGACATCCATATGTTGGTAAATTTGCAAATGCTTCATATTTCCACATGGATGTTAAAAAGCATTTGTCCTTTTCCTTCTACTTTAAAGTGATGATGTACTTTGTGTTGATCTTTCACGTAAAAGGAAAGAATGAAAACTTCAAGACATATGAAAACCTTTGCAAGGCACTGTGTATTTTCATCTTCTCCTTTTCTTCTAGTACATAGCAGAGTTAAGTCTACTAGAAACGGATCCCTTCCTTCAATACACCCCATCCATACTGGCAGCTGGAACCTACTGCTTAGCTACCTACACTATACATAAATCTTACTGGGTGAGTTGGTCCAGATGATGACGTTTTTCTGCATAATAATTACTTGGTTCTGGGTTTTTTTTTTCTTTTTTTTGTAAAATGATACCAATATTTCCTTTTTTTTTTTTTTTTTGTTTTTAATAGCCTGATTCTTTAATTACCTTTACTGGGTACACGATGGAGGAAATCATGCCCTGCCTGACTTCTCTCCACAAGCTGTATATCAGTGCAGAGACTCGGCCACAACAAGCTGTCAGGGACAAATACAAAACATCAAAGTAAGGAGAGACAGAAAGTCCCAACTGGAATTTATGAAACTAGATTTGCCATCTTAGTTCTTCATGAATCAAGGACATTTTTAAAAATACATTATTTTAAATGTATATTCTTTGTCTTTGTCTCCTTCATAGGTATTGTCGTGTTTCAGGGATCTCCCCCCCCACTGTTCTGCCTCTCCCCTGACTCCACTACTTCATCTTCCTGATCCTCCCAGCAGAGCATAGTTTCAGCTCACTGAAAACAAAGCACAGCCATTCATTTTTTACCACACACATGTGGACTCCTTCACTTTTTCTTAATCAAATAGTTATTTATACACAATTAAAGGAGTTCAGTTAATGTTTGAAACTCCTTGAGGGCGAACATGGATTTACTTTCAGTATTATACACATTATTTTTATTTGAACTGTTATATGCTATGCCTCTTTTCAAAATCTAGCTATCAGGTCATGCATTTTACGGCAGTTAAAACAACTAAGCATTTTGCAGTCTGATTCCTTTTGTTTTCACTTCACTTGTAGACATTTTAGAGTGTGTGATAGTGCATTATAGGCTCCAACACCTATCACATTCTAAATTATGATGAGGTGAGAACGGAAATTTCAATCCTTATAATAAGACATGTTTCTGACACCATGTAATTCAATCATCTTGGGAATTAATAGAAGTTTTAGTTCTTCACACAATAACGTCAAAAGTTACTGAACTGGTTTGATGTATTACCAGCAACATCATCAGGTAACGTCTAAATAAAGGTAGCTATGTTGTCTTATTCTGTTTGTCACTGTTTTATAGTCAAATATGTTGTAAAGCGGTTTCATTGTGAATTACACTTTGGCAACTTGCTTGATGTTCTTCAACTCCTGTTGAGCTGTTTACAGAACTGAATGGTATTTCAAGATATTGTAAAGTTTATTGTTTTTTCATTATTGTTTTTATAAATAAGAAGTCAAAGTCTGTTTAACTATTTGATTTTTTGTTTGTTGTTTTGATTACTTGGGAATTTTTTTTTTCTCAGCCCATAGTGAAACATATAATCCTTTATTAAAAGACTGTTCTGTCACACAAATACTCATATTGTTTTAGTAAAAAAAAAAACAATAAAAATTGATATCCAACAAAAATACTTGCACTTCAAAATGTGATTATGCAAACATGGTGTATAAAAATGTACAATAAAAATGATGTTAATCCAATTACGTTTCTCATAAATATTTATTACTCAGCTCAGACATTGGGCGTGTACCATTTGTCACCTGGTGTGTAAATATAGTTGCTGTAATTTCCCCTACCCCCACCCACACCTCGCCCCTCTTTTCTACGAAATGACAAGTAAAAATGCGTGTTGCATGGTTGGTTCATATTCATAATGTGGGTGGTTCATAATGTGGTACTGTATAATCATTCTGACAGGTTATTTCTGAACTTTTCCCACCCCGCCCGTTTAAACTCCTCCCATTCCGCTTGATTCCACTTTCCTTCCAGCTCATTCCACGGCTGACTGCTAAGGAGCGCACCCAGATTTCTCTGTACATTTGTAAGATTTATTTATTTATTTGTTTTAAAGTTTGACGAAAAGTATTTTCTCCCTGCAGATGGTGTTTGTCAGTAGCTGGCGTCCACAGGTGGATTGACAAATCTTTTAATTTTGTGTGAGAACCGAAAATTGCTGAGAAACTGAAGTACGGAGCTGACTTAACTTTTGCTGTGGGTTCCTGTTGGCATGGAGATCTGAGTAGACTCGGATCTGCTCCAGCGTTGCTGTCATTCTGGAAAAACCTGCTTTGTTTGGCAGCACTCAAACCTAACCTTTCAGCTGCCAATAATAAACGCCTGACTAGCTTTCTTCTCGCTAGTTGCTGTGATATTGCAGTGAGACAGCTGGAGTTACGTCCTTTTGGATAGATAGTCTTGTCAACAGGTAAGCTGGAATTCTTAATTTCCTCTCCTTTCATTCTTACAGTAAAACTAAAGAAAGCTGTAGTTTAACGATAAATCAATGTGTACACTTCAAAAATACAAAATCTTGCCAAGTATTTTTGTCTGGTTTCTAGTACAGATATTTTAGTACACTTGAAATAAGACAAACGCACAATTTCTTTTCAAAAATAAATAGGAGCTTGTTTTAAGTCAACAATTCCTTAATATTGATTCCGCTGGAAGATTATTTAACTTATGACATGGCATTTTTCTGATATCAGTGAAATCTGCCAGTGGAGATAGTACTTTTATTTTCTAAAAATATTAAGGAATTATTTACTTAAAACAAGCTCTTCTTTCTTACAGAACGATGTTGCATTAGAAACTAAACAAAAAGTACTTAAGACTTTATGTTTATGAATTAGTGTATAATTTCAAATTAGAATAAATCTAATTGGAAATTGAATCTATTATTATTAAGGATATGGCCTCAAAACTTAGTTGGGGTTCTTTTTATTTGAATTACTGCATCAAGTAATTCAAACAAGTTTATTTTGATCTGATAAGATTATTTTAAATCACTGAACATAAGTGCTCATGTTTGCAGTCTTTTTTTCTGGTTCTGGAGTGATGAATAGAATCCAACATGTACCTGGCTTGTAACCCATGTAGTGGATACACCTATATGGTGGTTTTTTAGACATTGACTCCAGCTGTAGTTCCAGTCATGTGACTCTTAACCCAAACTCCTGAATGAGGTTTGTTTCATAGTCATCTCAAAGCTGCTTGAACAGAGTTTCCCTTCCACTCTTCTTTCCATTGTTGTACTTGGATGCAGAACTTTGTAAACAGCCAAGTTTTTTTTAGCAATGATTTTTAGTGGCTTACCCTCTTGAGCAGGGTGTCAATAACCATAGTCTTAACCATGAGGCTTTAGGCTTTAACATAACATTCTGTTTTTAAAATTTATTTTTTGTTGGTTTTCTGTCATATTTAATTTTTTTAAGACACTGAATCATTTAAATTACTAGGAGTAAACACTTAACATATGCCTCTGCATTATATCCATAAAATATAAGTTTTACTATTTACTATTATATATTATATTATATTAAGATCCTCATATGTCTGTAAGTTCTGTGATACAATTTAATTGCATCCTAAAATTGCAGGTATTTTCTGTTAAGGGTTACGTATCGTCTTAGTTTCTGTTTCCCCTCTGCCTTCCAGCATGGCTGAGCCTGCTGAACTGCTGGTCATTAAGGATCAGTATGAGCTGGCCCAACAATCCATGAACCATGGATCAGCGGCTCAGGAAGCTGACAACAAATCAGAAGCTCTGGTGTATTACAAGAAGAGTCGTCTGCATCTTCGTCAAGGACTGGAGGTTCCTACTGGAGGGGAAAGGCATCAAGGAGAGGTCTGGGACAAGGCTAGGCAGCTTCAGCAGAAGATGAAGGAAATGTTAGGGACTATCGACACCCGCCTGTCTGATCTGGAAAAGTCCACACCAAGGGACAAACACTTACTGTCCAAATTTTCTACTCCTCTTTACCCAGACTTGGTAATTAACAGTCAGCCCACCAATAGTTCTGTCCTCCATCTGTACCCTACCATACCAGATACAACCCACAGCACAACACCAGCCCCCATCAGTCCTATTTTCCCTGCTGTCCCAAACACACACACACTCCCTGCAGCTGATCTGGAAACTGTGGCCATGGATAGCTCAACAGACCTTCCTCCAGCATACACTCCAAAGCCAATGGATGGGCACCGCAGCCTGGCTTACGATCCTGCCGGAGGCGGCCTCTGGTCAAGGGAACCACCAGATGGGAAGGAGCTGCTCTCCATCCCCTCCGGGGTACAGCTGTTCTTTGTCGAACCAAACGGTCAGGTCAGCTCTCTGTCCTCTCCAGGCTACCTCCGTGTCATCACAACGGATAATGAACAAAGTGATCGCAGTGCTGGAAAACCCTCTGGATTTTTACATGTAAGTAAAGAGAGGCATTCACTAGAGCCTGGCTTTGTTTGGAAGAAGGTTTGGGTGTGTGTGTCTTCAAGGTAAATGGGTGTGACGTCACGCAGAACCACTTCTTCATTTTTAGAAGTTTTCCCAGTATGAGTCATTATATTGTTGCGCAGCTGGAAAACCAACTGCAAAGTAACGTTTGTCTCACAGATGACAGGGAGGATGTTTAAAAGCATCTTAAAATTTATTTTTGGATTAATTTGAATTTAACCCTCCATAATGTATTGACATTTTAAGTGTTGACGGGACCAACATCTGTGTTATATCTCTTCAATTCTAAGTTTGCATTGTTTTCTTTTTATGAACACCAAATTTTGATCAGATTGTTCAAATGTTGTTTCGGAGTAGAATTAAAACCAGTTAGCTTTTGCATTGTAAATCTCCATGATGTCCATTTCTATTTAATGGTATATCTGTTTATAAATCTCCCTTTCAATTAATTTCCTTCAATAAAGTAAATATCTGTTCTGGCATCGCTACAAAGCATGCATTGTGTCTTGCTTTGTATTTCACTGCAACCCATGACTGTGCTTCCCACCAAACCAGGCTGGTCCTGTATTCTGACTCTGCTTTGTTTCCCAGTAAGACAATGGTCCCATTAACAGATGACTCTGCGCTTCTGTTGTTTTGCTGGTCAGGCTCCTGCATCCTCACAGGGGTCATTCTGACAGATTTGCACACCAGTGGCAGGATACAACAACAAGTTTGGATAGTTTGCTTCATGGAAAATGACACAATTTGGGGGTGTTGGAAAAAAAAAAAATCAACTGACCTAACTTAGGGACTGTCTCAGTGATATTTAAAAACAAAAAACAAAAACTTTGATAGCTTGCAGGAGTAGACGAAATGTGGGAAATGAAATATGAAAAAGATCTCAACGGAAGTCCTGCATTTCCTGCTTTAGAGTTAGTATAACAGATATTTCAAAACGTGATTGACAGACCTAGGTCCATAGTTACACGGTTTGAAAACAAAATATATGAACCCTAATGAAGATATAAAAATATATTTTAAACTTTAAATCATAATATGGATAAACTCTACAATCACTTAATAGGAGTTATTATTGTTTTATAAACTACTTGTGAAAAGTGTGTTTAAAGAGGATTAAGTTAAAATGCATAGAGTTTTGATTGTCCTGTTTTGTTCTGTCCTTGTGGTTTTTAGGTGTGTGATCGCCTGTATCCCCTGTCAGCAGACACCCCGGTGCTGCTGGCCAACTCTGGCATCTACATGTTCCCCGACTGCTTGGCAGAGTTACCCGGCTCCTATGTGGGTTTAGTGCTGTCGTCTGAACTGCCTGCTGCGGACTGTGAGATGTTTCAGGATGTTCTATCACAGCTTGCTGATCTCAGGATCCAGGTAAGTCCCAACTAATTTGTGTTGACTAAAAACGAACCTTGAATTAATACGAGTTAATTTCCCTTTGGGATCAGTAAAATATTTTGTAAGTATTTTCAGTCTTCTTTTTGCAGATTGAGTAGTTCAGCTTCCCAAAATTATGATATTTTAAAGGTGAAGAAAGTTGTTGTTTGTATTTTTATATAAACAACCTGATAAAGCCAGTGACATGTTTTAGGTTATACAGGTATCTTAAAGAAACAATATCATCTTAAAGCTCACCATTAAGAATGAAACTTTGCCTTGTCTAACAGGGAACAGAAGGAGCTGAAGGAGAGGTCATGAACTTGACTGATAAAATTCCCCTGAGTCCTCCGCATGAGCAAACAGATCAAATGGTACCAGAGGGGGAAAAGGTAACACTTCTACTTCCTGGATGGAGTGAGAAGATGGCTCAAGGAATTTTGTCTGGTGGGTTTTGCAAAAAGACTCTCAGAATGAAAACTCAAAGAACATCAGCACAGAGTTACACACCAGTTGATTACATAGTGGGTTACCACATAATCCTCTACCAGTGGGTGCTGTTTACAGTGACATCGGTCTAGTCTATACTTAACAGTATTTAGTGTTGGAAAAACAAAATGGTTTGCTTGATGTTTTGAAACTACAATAAATAAAATGATGTCTTTATCTTTACAGGAGCTACAAAATTGAGTCAGTCATTTGCAAAAGGAGCAGAGGCCACTGGGAATATCATTCAGAAAGGAGCAGCCAAGATCCGGGACCGCATCACACCAGAGGAGACCCCATCTGAGGTCAGTCCACAGGTCACCAAAGGTCTGAATGCTACCAAACAAGCCACCGGGGGCGCTGTTCGAGTCAGTAAATTCTTAGGTAAGAGCAACCAGACTGATGTTACCGATGAGGTAAAATGTATTATTCTGTCCTGATCTGTGAGTATCAGTATGTTTGTACCTAAATCTATTTCTTTGGTATCACTTTGTGCATTTACAGTGAATGGCATAAGTACAATTGCAGGACATGTGGCAGAAAAGGTGACACCTCATGTGAAGAAGCACGGTGCTAAGCTGGTCCCAGAGTCTCTGAAAAAAAGTCAGGATGGCCAGGCTTCCAACTTCGATGGAGCCAAGTTTGTAGCAGCCAGCAGCATACAAGGTATTTACTAAGTTTTAGAAGACGGTCTTAAGGATACACACACCCATTCAATAAATTAGAATAATGGTCCTCATCTGAACGCATATTCTAATTTAATGAATATGAGTGTACAGGGGGTGGTAAATTTGGACCCATAGGATGGTTTGATATGGCTGGTGTACATTTTTAAAATTTCTTTTCAAATTAGGTTTAAGCACAGTTTGGGAAAGTCTAGAGACTGGAGCAAAACACGTCTGCAAAAGTGTTGCAACTGAAACTGTCACAACAGTAAAGTACAAGTGAGTTGACCTCTTGACTCGATACTTCTTGTCTTTATATCTTCCTTTTTTCTATTCGATTTTCTATTTAAACTGGGGATGTCTTAGTCAAGATACGTTTGCTATATATGATATAATCTGTCCGTGTCATGAATAGAAAACTGACAACACAATTCTCAGATTCTTCATACAATCAATGGCTCATACATTTGTAAAAACTAGCATTGAAAAATAGAAAACATTACCACCTCATTCACCAGCCACCTTTCAGGCATTGCATTGACAGTGTGTCAGATATTGTGTTTTTTCATTACTTTTCTACCATTCTCCTTTTCCTTCTGGTTTTCTTGTGGACTGACCCTTTTTCACTGTTGTTTCTTTTCAGATTTAGGGGTTTAGAGAATCTTTTAAACATGTCTGGGAAGATGTGACTTCATTGGGAAGTAAATGTCAAATTAACAACTGATCTTTGTCTTGTTGTGCTTCTACTAACCCAGCCAATAACCTTACACAACCTGGTGTAGCACAAACTAAATTGGTATTTTTCAAACTAATTTGTTCACTTAAGCTTAAAGTATGCTTTTCAGAGGTCTTTTTTTTTGCATTAGGCTTGCATTTTATATCCACTTTATGCTGATAGATGCAAGCTGTTCTTCAATTCAAATAGTTATGAATAGGTACAGTTCTTATGTTTTATAATCATTATGCCTAAAAAACAGGGATCTACACTTGTTAAGACATTGTATACATGAACTGGACATAAAGATTTTTGAAGCTGCATACTTTGGTGAACGGATAAACCAAGCCTCTCTTCTAGACTGATTGTTTTTACGTGTGTGTTGCTGTAAGCTACATGGCAGATTAAGTGATGTCACGACATATAACATTTTTAACATGCAAAAATATGCTAGAGTTGGTGTGTTTTTCCTTAAAGTAATGTTTTGGTGCTCCTGCAACTCTGTTGTCATTTATTTTCTACACTCTTCTACTCTAACACCTCCAAATTATTTATGATGAAGGTACGGCAATGATGCGGGCCAAGCCACAGATACAGCTCTCCGCTCAGTGGGCAACATTGGTTTGACTGCACATAATATTGACAATCTGGGCCTCAAAGCCATCCTGAAGACTACTGGCAAGGAGACGGCCAAGGCCATGGTTAAAGAATCTGACGATGAGGTAAAGGAAACCGAAGAGAGTAAGATGCAAAATGACAAACATCTCACACAAGCTGAGAAGGGGGTGGAAATGAAAGAAGAGGCACCAGAAAAGACAAAGGATGTGAATAAGGAACAAGAGGGAAAGAAGGAAGAATAAATTTCTACTAGACCTAGTGCTTTGTTGTCATACAGTATAAATTAATGGTGTATTTAAATGAATATATTAAAGTATTATAATAAACTCGATTTTAAGTGTTGTTTGAGTTGGGTTATACTTTTTTTTTAAGAGGTGAGACTGTGGCTGAGTGGGTAGAGTATATCATGGGCTTGATTTCAGCTTCCTCCGGTCACATGTCGATGTACCCCCAGGCAAGGCACTTCACCTCAAGCTGCCTACCAATCTTTGTATTTGTGTATGAATGTTTGTGAATCTATAGTGCTTTGATTGGTCATGATTTTTAAAAGTGCTATTGAAGTTTGGCCCATTTTCTGTTTTGTCAAACTTTTTCTCTAAACAACTTTGGTTGATTCAGTGGTTAAATATTATTTCTAATCTATAGAGCTGTTATTAAACATACTTGCCAGATTTATTCTGTTTTTGTCATAATTCAATGTTTGAAATCAAATCAATTCTTTAAGTCAAAGACAACCCAAGTTGAAATAGCATTGATAGAACCAAAAATAATCGGGCTTAAAGTAAAAAGAAATACATGTCCTAATTTACATAAATTCATGAGAATCTGGAAAACAAAGTCAAAAGCTATTTCTAAAATTTCATGTTACAGAGGGGAAACCCAGACAGCTGAAATATTTACCGAGAAATCGATCAGAGGCGCCGTGAAAATGGTCGGAACGGGCCTCTCTGGCTGCAGTACGCGCTCCCGACACAGGGGGAACACATGTTCACAAGGGAACAGTATTTTGCAGAAACCCGGAAATGTTGGTTTCCATGGATACCATGAGCTACAAACTTGCCTGCAGTGAATTTTCGGAAAAATGGCTAAAGCGAACGACTACCGTAAGTACGACTTGGCACGGCTGCAAGTAGAAATCGAAGAGGAAAGAGAACTAAAGTGAGTGTCCCCCTCCTTGAGAAAATAAAGCTTTTCAGACGGAAAAAGTTAAGACTTCAATCTTTGGTTGCAGAGAGATGCTCATAGGATCTGTGTGCGACCTGCGATGTACTGTGGCAGAACTGCAAGAAAGATTACGTAGTGTTGACGGGGAAGGTAAAAACGTTGTCTCCGTAAATTATTTGCGCATTGAGTAAAAATATTTCAAGCATTTATTTCCTGTAATTTTGACAATACTGTGAAAAGTAAAATATTTTGAAACTCATGCATGTCACACCCTAATCAGACAATTAATTCAAAACACCTGCAAAGGTTCCCTGAGCAGTAAACTGCACAAACATGGGCATCAGATCGTCATTGACATCCACTACAAGGAGGACAAGACACAAAAGATCTTTTCTAAAAAAGTTGGTTGCTCACAGATTGTGGTTTTCATAGAAAGTTGAGCAGAAGGAAAATGTGTGTTGTCCCAGTAACAGATAGTCTTGAAAGGATTATTAAGCAAAATCCATTAAACAATTTGGGGGAGTTTCACAAAGAGTGAACTGAGGCAAGAGTAAATAAAGATCTATATTTGGTGTGAAGATCCTTGTGTCAAATTACTCTGTCTCTGGTTCAAAGTCCTCTTTGTAGATGAATGTAAAGTTTGCATTTAATTTGAAAATTGGTGCAACAGAGTCTTGTGGAAGAGTGGAGAGACAATTTCCATAGTTGGTGATGATTTGGTGCGCCATGCTATCAGGTTGTGTTGGTCCAATGGCTGATCACCTCTGGGGTTCTCAGGATTGATGCAATATATCAACTATTGAGCCCATAGAAACGAACATCCACTTATAAACTTGTAATTTCGGTTTAAAATTTTCCTCTTTTTAATTAACCCAGACTCTATGGTGTTTTCATTATCTATTATCAGAATCAATGCACATGAAGGCTTGAAATATAATGAATCTACTTTCTTAAAAGGAGGACAAACTTATTGAACTTTTTCCCAGTATTCTAATTTTTTTCCAGAGGTAACTATGTGGAAATGTAAGCTTTCTCTCGTGACTTGTCTGTTTTTGTTGGTCATCAGGTAATGAGTGGAAGACGAGGTTTGAGACACAAGTAGAACTAAATGGACAGCTGGAGAGACAGATTTCACACATTCAGCAGAGGCTGGAGAGCATCAAAGGAAACCCCGTCGGTGAGGCTTCACTTTCTTTTAATATTACGACCCTGCCGGTATTTCACTGCATGTTCTGAAACTACTTTTCAAAGTAGAAACGTTAGTTGCATTACTTTTAAGGGAATTCATGATTAGAATAGACGTAGTAAAATCTTTCAACTGGATTATGCAGTTACACATATGCAACCATCTTCTTTAGCAATGACCATCGACCACCCTCTTTTTAGAAGATGGTCAAGCCTTTATAACATAAATGGTTCACTTTCTTAAATGAGTGACGCAAATATTGAGATGTTCCTGCGTACCCTATATTCAAGTAAACCCGTTTATCTGTGTGCATGTGTAAGAAGTTAAGTTTTGCTATTATTTGCCCACCTGCACTTACAAGTTTACATTGTGATCAAAACAAACTCACACTTGGCCTTGTTTCCCCAGATCGATTGGCTTTTATCCGATTATATGAAGACATGGGACTTGTGAGTTGACTTTTGTTTTGTTTATTGGCCTTTAATGTTTGCATAGATGTTGTTATGTTTTTTTCTAAAACCTATGGTCATTCTGTCCACAGAGAGTATGCAAAGAACCACACACACCAGCAGAGAGCGCTAGAGACAGAGAATGAGTTTATACAAAACAGCAAGTGTTGTGATGTCAGCTTCTCTCCTTCCTCTAGTTGATACAGGCTGTAAAAACCAGAGTTTAATCACAACTCTGTAATCATGGGATTAACAACCATGGGAGAGTAATGCAGTCTAATTACAATGCTTTAACACACACACACACATACACACCAATACATGCGACACTGAAAGGTTGCACAATAAAGCTTAACCACCCTGGTGCCTGTGAGCCTAAAGGCCCAAACTAACAGATGCTCATTAGTTTGTCCAAGAAGTGACTACAAACAGTAGACATTAGCATAGACTGAACGACTGAGATGAATTTGGATTATCATTTCAAATTGTGACTGAATAATTTATGAGTCTCATCCATTTTTGAACTATTGTTGTCAACATGAACTATTTGCACATTGTTTGATCGTCCTGTATTCCACTGGGTAATTAGTCTTCGCCAGAATGACATAAGAGTAATTTCAACTCTTCCTCACAGGAAATGCTTAAAGAACACCTAACAGTCCTGACTGAGGAGAAAACTGGCCTCCATAATCAGCTGAAGAACTGCCATCTTCAAATGGAACAGGAGGGAAAGGTCTGGGCCCCATTGTTCATGGAGACGACGAGGGGTTTTAAAAGATTTATAGGCATCAGAGTATCTGTTGGTTAATTTTGTCATTGTGTGTTAGAAAAGAAGCTTTAGGGTTTTTATTCCCCACAAAGTAGTGATTTCAGCTACAAAAAAATCCTAATTGGTAACAAATTTAGTTCTTTGTTTATTGTTCTACTAAAATAACAGGGAGGTATCAGTTAAACACAGGCTTAGCATTCAGCATTTGTGACCAGTAATCCCTAATCTGTTGCCCATTACCACTGACACATATTAAGGGCTGTACCCATGAATTGACTGCATGGTTTTCTATTTCTTTCACTTCTCAGGCATTCCATAAAACCAACGATGAAAGGCGGGCATACCTTACAGAAATAGCTATGGTGAGCATTTAAAAATAACACTTCCCTTCTCGGCTGATTCTGCAAGGAAGGTCAGAAGTTTACATACAGTCACCATGTTTTATATATTTACTGCCTGCAGTTGTCTTCTGTCCGTGAGCCGCAGAGACGGCAGTATGCCAACCAGCGACAGGGGGCAGCAGAGAGCAAACAGATCAGGTTTGTAACATCCCACATCTGATCAACAAAATCTTAATGTTTACTAGTGGGAGTTTTAAATTCAGGTAATTTTGTAACAGTGGATTATTTAATGGGGCGATATTATGTATTTTCCACGTACCTAGTACTATTTCATAACAATATCAAGTAAGTATGTTACTATCAGTTGTACCATCAGTGGGCACCCTGTAGGAGATTGAAGGATTTCTAAAACATGCGTGAAAGAATCAAAGCAACTCTCCAGGTATGTTTTTGATGAGGGAATAAGATTATAACATATACATCTAAAAAAAAAGTTTATTTTACATAATACCCGCCACCTTTAATACAAATAAATATGCATTAAAAAACAGTATCTTCTCTAAATTCAGTGTTAACTGATTTCAGTCAATCTTTACATGTTTTCCTAGTTTTACTTTAAAATAATTTTAATTTACTTCACAGTCGAAATGTAGGGATCACAATTTAGATGAATAAATAATAAAGAGAGTAACATCATTTTGTTTTTTAATTATTTCCTGCAATTTTGCTTTTTAGGGATAATTTACCCCGGCAGGTGTTCATTCACATGACGTTACTTTTTTATTTTTGTTTTGGACACACAGAGGAAAAGGCGTCTGTAGGAAAGCACAAGCTGGTTCTAACAAAGGAATGGAGGAGGTATTAACAGAACGTCTGAATGAAGGCGGAGGAGGAGGTGGTGATTCAACAACAGAGAGAGGAATGAAGAAGAAATCCCACAGGGAAAGCAGGTTACCCACCCTGAAGCATCGGGGAAAACATAATCCTTAACCAAAATCTGTTCCCATTGGATATTTGCAGGGTTCTTTTATTGGGGGTGGTTATTCTTGTACATTTCTGTCAGCTTTTTTGTTTAAGCTTTTATTTATTTTCTCGAAGTCTGATTATATAATGATTTAAATACTTATTCAAATGTACTTATATAAAGGTTTGAATCATCAGAAATCAGACGTTTCTTGCACACACAGGCAGATATTTCACTCTTTTACCAAGACATTTGCAAAAGTCTTTCACCGTGACTTAAGAATGAGCTTATTCTGCTCCTTCAAAACTCTGTAACTTTGAGCACTAACTGCTTTCATCCAGGTGACTAGTTGCCTGGTGTTTTGGAACTAAATGTTCCCGAAAACTTCAATGACAGAGTTTGCATCGTGGGACATTCACGTTAAGGACTATGACCATCTCTACTTTGGGTCACCTGCTCTGCCACTGAGTCATGAAGCACCCAAAACTTAACTTTTACTTTAATTTCTTCTAATTCATGCACCTGATACCCTGTTCACTGAACAACCTTTTCTGATGTAAAGTAAGGCTCTACCTATTAGTTTATGGTGATCCTGGTGCTGGAAGTTAATGGAATTAAGGATTCCTTTTTTTTCTCTCAACATTTCCCTTCAGTTAAGTGACGTAAACTAAATCTAAATTACATCTGGAAACCCTGCTTTTGAATTTTATAGACTTTTGATACAGTTAGACCTTCGTCAGCTAATAATACTTTGATCCTTCATTCTCAGGTCCCTTTGAAATGTTTAAGTAGTTCCATGTTTTTGTTGCTTTTACTTAATTCATTAAAATATTCTAATGCCATTTCAAATTACATCTTTTGTTTTTATTATTGTTTCAAAACTGACAATTCTGTTCAGTTTTTATAGAATTGTCAATATTCAAATTCTCAGAATAAACACATTTTAGACAAACATATTTCATTCCTCTTTAAAGTATTCCATAACATAACAATTTGCTTTGTCAGTGATTATTGATATATTAAGCACTTTGAACTGCCTTGTTGCTTAAATGTGCTAGGCAAATAAACTTGATTGATCGATATATTTGAGACAGATCAAATAAAAATATATTAAAAATGAGACTGATAAAGTGCTGATACATAATAAATATTATCAAATGCACTTATGAAGTAAAATGTTGCAATAGTTTTGTAGTATTTGTTTGCATAAATACATTTTGAATCTGATCTCTTTCACGCAGAAAACTGGGTGAAATGTGAGTATAAGGTTTGAAATGGTGAATTGAGCTGCTATGTGTTAGGAGCCTGCAGAGTTTGACATTTCTTTTACAATATTTTTTTAAACGCCACCTACGACACACATTACGTAAGCAGAACCGTATCCACCAATCACTCTGTGTAGTTGAGACACAGAGCAAGCAGTCGCCCCCATCCTACCCACTGACCATCTTTATACGTGTGGGTGTTAAGACAAAAAACAACTATCCCTGTGAGATGAAGTAGTGTTCTGTAAAACTGCCAGAAGCATTTTCACAACTTTGTGTTTGAGAAGAAGTGTGAGTGTGAGGGATCATTTCAATTTTTGCATTGAAATAAAACAGTGATACAGCAAAGGGCTAAATCAACTCATAATTATTGTATTTTGTTCTTCAAAAATGTATTTATTTATTAAACATTTTGATGTTTATTTTTAGCCAGAGATGTCAGATCTGAATTTTGAGTTATGACAGATAATTTTTACATTTGCTATGTTTTGACATTCCATTCAAGATCCATGGTGATTTTAGGAGTGGAAATGATAAACTTGTCTAGCGCTTTATCAAATCCAGAAGACCCCACAGCACTTCACACTACATTTTAGTCATTCATTCTCTTTCTCTTTCTTACTGTTTATTCACTGTCACATGCTGTTTTTATTTTGTTTTTTAATTATGTAAAGCACCTTGAAATGCCTTGCTGCTGAAATGTGCTATGCAAATAAAATTTGATAGATTGATTGATCCATTCAGACATTGATGATGGCAAGCTACTAGTAGCCACAGCTGCCCTGGGGCACCACCAGCACTCAAGGTGGGTGAAGAGTCTTGCCTAAGGACCGACTGGGATTGGAACTGACATGCTGTCATTTTTGGGATTATTTTTTTGTGTGTAATTCCTAAATAAGAACTAGACAACGTACATTTGTTAAAAGCAACCCTAAGTGATGTCACAAACCCAACACTGAAAACCATTTCATTAACTGTGCTCCATCTTTTGCCTTCGTTTTAAGTCAGTGTGCCCCATGCTGTGTGCGCCCTGCTTCTTCAGGATTAATTTAGACAGGAGCACCTTGTCGGGTCTCGGTTTGTGACGCACACTGTGTCCCTGTGAGTTTGTCCCCAAAAAGAGGAGACTGTACACGGTCTGTCACAGTCACACCAACAAATACATTTACGCACTACACGAGGGGGGAAGGAAAGAATCTCTATCAAAGAATTCCCAGGAGGTATAACTCAATCACACTACTTAAATAGCATGATTTATTTATTTATCTTATAAATATGAGGATGTATAATCAAGTTTTTTGAATAAACAGACTTGTGACCTTCATAAGAAAAATGACAAATGAGGACATCTGACTTCAGGTGTTCACAATTGTTTAAAGAAGCTTTTGAATGTAGGACTGGCTGCATCGTTTAGCCTTGTGGCACAGGTCTAGTGCAGCACACATACAGCATAGGGGTGTGACAGCATGGTTCATCAGGATGTTTGTCAGAATCCAGTGAATGAGCGAATCTCTGGAGGTTTTCATGTAGGTCAGTTGCTTCTATCTTTTCCTACTCAATGAGACTTTTCCTGCTATGTCAGGAAAAGATTAGATATGTCCTCTACATCGCTCAGCTCTGAGCTTTTTCCAAAAATGTTAGTGTTAAAGCAGTAACATGCTATCACGTCCAATCATTTCATATGGGAAACGAATCACATATAACCAACAGTATCTGGATTTGCACATCTACACAGTAAATGCATAAAACATAGAACAATTTTGGGCATTTAACAACAATATTTTGTCTATTGTTAGAAAACAATAGAAAACAATAAACAATGGATATATATTGTTCAAGTACAGACTAAATTCTAGCAACATTAGCAACTTTTTTTACTATCAGCATTTTACTGAAGATATTGGTTTAGTTGACTGTCATTCTTCTAGTCCATCAGAGGACTGATGTATGTGTGAAATAAATTAATATACATTTTTGTGGTTAAACAGCTAAAATGAAAGCTTTTTTAGAATAAAACATGGCAAGCTTCAATGTGTTTGTTCAAACCAAATTACACTTAAAAACTTGAGGTTTTAATATGTCCTTCATACTTAAATCTCATTGCTGCTGTGTCAAGACTTCAAGCTTGTCCTTAGGTTAAAAATCTTTCAGTGAGTTTGAATAAAATAATGCTACAGAAAGAGTGAGCCAGCAATGTAAAAAAAAAAAAAAAAAAAAAAAATCATTGCCAGTTATGCCAAAGTCTTGATGGCAGTTATTGCTGTCAAGGATGCCACAAGTTATTTAATTATTTTTTTCCCCTACATATTATTAGGTTGGATTTTAAAACTATTCACTTTATGAATGAGATCTTCCGTTGAAAACTGTATTTTGTAATTTATTTATTTCAAAACAATTTATTTGTTTAATTGAACACAGTTTTTGTCAGAGTATGCTTTATTTTGACTGAGAAAATAAGTGATGAGACTAACCCCCCCCCCCCCGGCGAGGCTGGCGAGGGGGACACGATCAGTTGCATCCCCTTCCACGAGTGTGAAGTGTGGGTTTGCATGGAAATAAGGGGGCGCGGGCGCCGAATGGAAATCACGACTGAGTGACGTGAAGATGTGGGAGTGGGGAGGAGAGAAAGAGAAAGAGAGAGGGGGTGGCTGGAGGAGAGAATGGGAGGGTAAGCAGCTGCTACCCAGTCAATTTTCAAACCAGTCGCTGCCTCTTGATTATACACACGTTTTGTGTCGCCTGGCGGAGCATATCAACCGGACAACAAAGGACACTCTGCCACCATCCTAACTGCGACAAGCCCACTGAACTCCAGTGTTTTCTTTTCGCATCTGCCTGGAAGTAGTGCATCAGTTCAGACTGGAGGTCACAGTGACAGAAGCGTTGATTGCTCGCGTTGGTAAGTCTGTCAGTGCGCGAAAAGTGATTGGTCGTTTATCTAAATTGACTTTTCCATACTTTGCTCCAAAGTTGTATAATCGTGACGTAAACATGCTGTTAGTTTTAATCGGTGCATGATGTTGTGGATAATGTGATTTAGGAGATGGATGAGGCTGATGTTTGTCCTGCTGAGCGCGCAGCTTCTGAGTATTTATTAATATTAATAAGTTAAATCGATTCGTGACTGTCGCTCTTCATCCAACTCAGACGCACCCTCAGACCCACGGGGATGGACGTCATGAAGCACCCTGTCCACTCCCCGCTTAACGGCACTTAATCCGTCATTAGGGGGTTATTTTGAGACAGAGCACCGGCGGCAGACACCGGCTGGCTGCTCAGTTCGCCTCTTCTGGCTTTATTTCGCACCTTTGTTGTTTGTTTTTATTTCCCCGATTTCCTCTGCAGTGAAAAGTTTTCATCACAGCCCTCTTCCCTCTCCCCTTTTTTGTTCCCCCCCAGACAGTACAGCCGTACTCGTCAGCTTAGGCAGCGAAATGGAGATGGAGCACTTCGACGATCGGGACAAAGGTCAGAGGCACGGCCGGTCCAACGCTAAGATGAACGGGGTGCCTAGCCCCACGCACAGCGCCCACTGCAGCCTGTACCGGACCAGGACCCTGAAGACTCTGAGTGCTGAGAAGAGGGCCAAGAAAGTTCGCTTCTACCGCAACGGGGACCGCTACTTCAACGGGATCGTGTACGCCATCTCCTCAGATAGGTTCCGGACCTTTGACGCGCTGCTGGCCGACCTGACCCGCTCTTTGTCTGACAACGTCAACTTGCCCCAGGGGGTCCGGACAATCTACACCCTGGATGGCAAGAAGATCGCTAGTATTGATCAGCTGGTAGAAGGTAACGATGTTTTATTGCACTTTCAGAGCCGGCATACGATTTAATAGGGCTCCCTAAACATAACAATCGTCTCAGATTTGAGCTTGATAAAGTGTTCTAGAATGTCAAAGTTCAGTTTCTGCGATGTTTCTTTTCTGATTGTCCTTGCCATTTTCAGTGGACAGCATTTCATTTAATTTGAATGGGACAAGGAGGAACCTTTTAGTGCTTATATTCTCTACAGAAAATATTATGTTAATTAATGAGACTTAATTAACTTAAAAATATTCATATAAATTGTTAATCGCTATCACTACTAATGGCTTCAATTACATGTATCAAACCGTAAAACATTTTTAGATGTAGTTTATTTATTTATTTAAATGAATAATTTAATAATAATTTTCTAAAATGTCATTTTAAGTTATATAAAATTCATAAAAAAGTCAAATTCCTATTAATGTGCTATGTGAAAAACGATACAGAGAACGTAAAGTTGCCTAATTCTTCATAAACTTGAATACAAATTACAAAAACAACAACACAAAAAACTTCTGAGCTCAAAAATGTGTGAGAATTCAGCAGCTCTTTCTCCAGGGCCTCAAGTTGTGTATGCCTCAGGATGGCTCTGCATCTGTTTGGGAGTCAGTTTTACACTAAATAATCTAAAACATCTCTCATTCTTTCTTAAGGAGCAAACTCTTCATGACTAGTGAGCCTCCACGAAATCTGATCTTGTCCAGCTCCCTTTTCTGATAAACTTTAGATGAGGCTAATGTAACGGGGACATTCACTTAGACACAAGCTTCAATGGGAATTTCACAGTATAAAAACCTGAGTAAAAATGCAGCTGTTTCACAGTATTGGAGCTATTACATAAAATAAAGAACTGACAGTGACTACATTTACTGGCTTATTGCAATATTAAACCATTTTGCTATTCTGCACACTACTGGGTCATTCTTTGTTGAAAATGTAGGATTTACCCAATGGTTATAAATTAGGCTTTTTTTGTGGGCTGTGCTCCATAAAAAATCTGTTAAAACCAAAGTGTGTCATGCATTTGATGCCCATATGTCCAAACAGATGTATCCTTTGTTTCATGTCAGATTAGTTCTCTCGGGATCATTTCAGGATAATTTCTCTCCCATGGCTGTCAGTGCTAAAATGTCAGGAGAAGTGAAATAAGAAGAGCTATCAGTTGTTGAAATTAAACTCACTTTTTCATGTTTCATCTTTTTCCAAATGTTTGTCTCTTTAACAGGTGAAAGCTACGTCTGCAGCTCCATTGAGGCCTACAAAAAGCTGGATTACACTAAAAACGTAAACCCCAACTGGTCAGTGAATGTCAAGGCCTCGTCCTCTTCATCACGTGGGCCTCCATCCCTGAGCTGTGCCACAGCTTGTGCCTCAGACGGCCGCGAAGGGAAGGACTTCATTCGTCCAAAGCTAGTAACGGTGGTTCGAAGTGGAGTTAAGCCTCGCAAAGCCGTGAGGATCTTGCTGAATAAGAAAACAGCCCACTCCTATGAGCAGGTTCTAACCGATATCACAGATGCCATCAAGCTCGACTCTGGGGTGGTGAAGAAAATCTACACGTTGGAGGGCAAACTGGTGAGTTTGTAGTATTAAAAGATTAATACACTAGCCCTAATATTTCTTGTGCTTTGCATGCAGGAGACATTTGCCTTTAAGCATCTCTTGCTAATACATATTGTTTAGTGAGATATATAATCTAGAGATAACAATGAACTGTGAACTTTTACTTTATTGTCCCTTGGAGGAATTGTTTTTCACATGTGTTTAACAGAGAAGGCAGTACAACTAGAAGTTCTTTGAGTAAATGGATGAAGTCCTGTTCTAGTGAAATTGTGGGAAAAGCTTGTGTTGGTGAGCTTTGTCTAGTTTACAATAAAGACCTTGTTGACAAAACAGCTGGTTAGCTTTTGCTGGTTGTTGGGCTGATGATGTCATGTGTGTAGAGAGTGTTTTCTAATAGACCAAGCACACAGCCCTGTGGTGCTCCAGTGTTGATGGACAGAGCAGGAGATGTGGTTGAATCCAGTTGTACTTCTTATAGTTAGTTCCTCCCTACCCTATAGCTGCCCATTGTAATTTGTGTGCAGGCTTTTCTGATATGAAGCACAAGTTGATAAGAGTCGAGTATAAAACAGTGGCGTAGTAGTCCATGACAGTTATTGTGTTTAATTATTTTTATTGTGTCAGAACGGAAAACATTTTCTGTTTGCAGCAGCATTAGTTCTAAGTGTTTGACAAACAGTTCATGGCATTAGTTTTTTTTATGACTTTAATATCTCTATTTTAACATTTTATGGAACTTTGCTTTGCTAATGTCTTTCTGCCATTCATTTGATGTATTTTAAAGCACTTGGTGATCTATAAATAAACTTGCCTCGTATTGAATAGGGACAGGATGGCTGTGTTGTGCTCTGAGTATTTTTAGAAAAGGTTTGCTGAGTGGTGAGCTGATGCTGTTGTTTTTGTAGAATGTATTTAGGAATGGATTAAACACAGACACTGTGGTGCTCTGGAGCTGATGGTGAAGGCAGCGGACGGGGTTGAGCACATCCACACTTCTTGCTGTCTGTTGCTCAGGAAATTGTGTAAAACATTAATCAAACGCATGGGGATGATAAGGTGGTACAGCTTCTGGAAATACCAGTTGCTACTGAGTTGAGTTAAAGGCAAGACAGAAGTCCAAAAGATGTATTCAGGAGAAATTCTATTTGAATTATTCACCTTTGTGCTCTTTTAAATTTTGGAGGCATCATTGGTTTGCTGTTTGAACTGACAATGGGGCTGAAACAAGGCAAAGTTTTTAAACTGCTGTTTGATTCTTCATCGGAGGTTGTTGCATATCTTATCTGCAGAAAGAGTTAGTCCACTGGCTGCTGCTTGAAGAGTGGAATTAGGACTTCAGAATGTCTAAATATTAATGAGTACTCTTTCATTTTTCATTCCACACCTCCAATTTTATGGGTACATCTAAATTTACAGTCAGAGCTGTGAACAGAACGAGTGACGCAGAGGTCAAGAGGAGATAATGTTGAAAGAAATCATGAATGGAGTCGCTCACACGCTGCAACGATGTGTGGTGTGTGCAGATCATTGTCTCTAAACACAAGAATAAATCGGCGTCAAAAAAACAGTCCACCCACCAGTCCAGCTCCTACTCTCTCAGAACGATGCACGTTTTCCTTACTGCATTGCTAAAATGAGAACTAGGTCTGCACTGCAGCTGAATCATGTCAAACAAGCCTTCTTCCAGGCACATGTTGATGTTTGTGTGTATTCATAAGCAAAGGAAGAACACGCTGTCTCCCCCAGCATGTTGGCGTTTTATTCTTTCATATTTTTTTCCTGTTTGGATTCATGCCACCTGTCTCATGAATCACCTTTTTTTTTCTCTGTATTTTTGTCTGCTCCCCATTTCTCTGTCTGCCTCTTTTTGTGATGCTGCAGCTCCAAGTTACTGAATTTAATGACACTGAGCTGCTGTCATCCTGTCAGCAGCATTATTCTTGAAACAGATTGTGTTGGGCTTCTTGACATTTTGTGTTGTATGGCAAGAATTGCGTTGTAAATGACCAATTAGTGAATCATGCTCACAGAAACGCTCTTTGCTCTAGGATCTTTTTATGCTCAGTGACGCTTTTAGTAAGCTCTTACTTTCATGTCATTTCATCTCTGTCTGTTTAATGTTACACTGTTAGCTCAGCAGGATCCTGACTCCAATTAGATTCTAGTACCAGCCAATGAAATCTGAGGATCAGGTTTTCCTAGAGAAACCTTCTGTTGGGGATTAAACTCACTGCATTTGCATAATACCCACTAACGAGCAGTTTTCTTGGAGATTACACAATAAGTACTACTGTTGCTCTGTTCATCCCTCTGCGATGGGAAATGAGGCTGTTTTGGTGTGCTATTTTTAGACATGGTATTGATTGAACATGTAGGCATGGTAACACACTCACTGCTAAATTGGCAGGGCTGGGCTGAGTGCAAATCCAGCTCCTCATTTTTATCTTTCCTTCTATGTTTGGCCTCTGGTTGGTGCGTGACGTAGTTTGGAAAACTGGAAAGTGGGCTGTGGGAGACAAAATGAAATACGGGATTTGAATTGATGAATGAACTGTTCCAGAGCTTATTTCCAAGTAATTTGTCTACACAAGAAAATCTTGCAGAAGACCTGAGTACTATAGAGTACCTGGGTACTCTATAGTGTAATTTGAGTACACTATAGAGTACTGAGTACTCTATAGTGTAATTTTGTATGCATGCTAGTCAAGTATAAGTATCAGGATGACTTTGCTTTAGAAGCTAAATGAAATGTTTGTCTAGGTTTGTGCAACCAGAAGCATATTTATGAGGATGTGTTTCTCTATGTATGGACTTCTTTCATGAGCTGAACCACATCAGTCAGTGAGCTTGCACAAAAGTAGGTTTCTGGGCCTGTCTGCCAGTAATGTCGAGTCCCAACAGAACTGCAAAGGAGCTTGAGCCTCTTACTTTCATTAACCCTGTAATGAGGCCAGAAACAGAGGGCGTCAGGTTTGCATGCACTCTATTATACAGGGATTGTTAGATGTGTTTTGGCTGCGGTGCACTTTTCAGGTATATTTTTCTATTTGTTTAAAGTTTATGTTCTTCATTATTATTTCATGTGCAATCATTCTGTCAGTGGCATTTATTAAGCCTTGTTGTTAAGATTGTAGAGTGGCAAAACAATAAATCACTTACAGTGGCTCTATGACATGAAGCTATGACCATATTCACAGTTTCCTTATAATAAAATCTTTATAATTACTGTGATGTTGTAAGATCTTGTTGCTTTATTTTTTTTTACATTATATTTGATGATAAGATATGTTTTATGGTGCTTCAAGTGTTCAAACTCCCTTAAACGTTTTCTAACATTTTCATGTTACAACCTTAAAGGTATTTTTTATTCACGTTAAAATCTCAAAAGTGACTTTAAGTGGAATTTGCAACTGGATACTTTCACATGTCACCAAATTAATAAATAGCTCACCATATATGTAAGCAAATATGGAGACCTTAGAACATGCCTGAGAGATCAGGAATAATGTGGAGAAGCACAAAGTAGATTTGGGCAGAAAATAATATCCACAACTCTGAACATCTCCAGTAAAATGATCACCGATGCCATACAGCTAGAGCCACAATGGGCAATTTCTGTCCAACCTGACAGAATTTTAGCTATTTTGCAAAGAAGAATGGGCAAAAATCTCAGTTTCTACATGTGTGAAGCCAGTGGAGACATACCCTAAAAACTTATGACTGCTATTGTTTAAAAACGTGGTTCTAAAAAGTACTGACATAGCAAGGGCAGAATGCAAAGGCACATCACAGCTTTTAGGTTTCTCTTATTTCCTTTGTGCTTCAGAATATGTTATATTTTGTGTCGGTTCACAACATGCAATCCCAACAAAATATATAATGTTTGTAGTTGTAGCCTGAAAACATCTGAACAAGTTCAAGGGGGTGTGAATACTTTTGTTCGGCACTATGTAACACAAAGGGAGTGAGTCTCTGTGAGTATCTGATACACTGTGCCACCTCCTCTGCTGTGAGCTCTTACTCCTGTGATCATTTGGATATCTGTGTGTAATACGAGAATCTTGCTTCAGGAGCCTAGATCAGATTCCACCATCCGGTTTAGATTCTTCCCCTTTCTTTTTGTGTAAGCACAACCTAACTATTTTGAGCTTTGTTTTGCTAGTTTTTCTGAAAATTTGATCTAGTTGCTAAGGAACTGGTTTACATGCTGTCGAATTATCACAGGAGCACACCGGCATGATGTAGTCTGCACAGACCGATCATGACAATAGACGACCCGTAAGTGGCTTAGGACACGGACATGGCCGGCGTATTAATACTTCTTAGCTCTGTTTACACACACAGGCACTATGGCAGACCCCACCTGCTGCCTCTGCCAGCATTCGTGTGCCTCATGCATATTCAATGTGTAACACACACCTTTCACTGCATTCATTTAGATTTTGCCAAAAGAAGCATGAAGTGATACCATAGCTTTATCTCCAGCACATCTTAGCCAACTGGGCTGTTTTCTTCCTTATTGAATAAAGAAAAACAAAAAACATACAAATGCAAATTCATACAAATGCAAATAAATATGCCTGCGTTCCTTAATAGTTTAAGGGATTAATTACTGGATTTTTTCTATGATAAATGTATGTGATCATAAAAAGGCAGAATACATTGTGGAGAAACAAAATGTCTTGGAACAAAGTCTACTGGTTCAGATTTTAGGAGTGTTGATCAGTCACAACTTAGTTCACTTTGAGTACATTTGAGTACTGTTTGTCCAACTTGTCCATTGGTAACTTCTACCTACACAAGCCTTAATAACTTTTTAGAATTTGAATCGATTTGATTATTCCTCAAATGCACACTGTAATTTTAATATAACCAATTTTTTGGATCTTGTGTTAATTGGCAATGCTAAATGCTGACACTAATGCACTGACTATGCTGGCCATGTTAATTCTTCATATGATTTAAAGAGTTCACTCCTATTACCAAGGATACAGTTCTGCTATGTATTTTCC